GTTCATTTTTATGCAGCATATACTGCTATCTATCTTTATTCCACTTTTATTCTTTATGCAAAATTATGATGACTTTGCAATTATAACAATAACAATAACATGACACGACACGATGCGCTTTGCCATGAGAATATATGTCCGGCTAATGAAATATATGTTTTTCTCGCGTGATTTGTGGTTCACTGTATCGATAAATTTGTGAAACGTTTTATTTTGTAATTGTTGTTTTGGTGAAAGTACGATATATCCAAGTTCAGAAGTATTTGTTTAGAAAAAAACCAGCGTATCGCGTCTCGTTTAGAACCGCTAGAACCTACGAACAGCTGATGACACACATTTTTCCGCAAAGCGTTTTAAAGCTTGAATAGTTACCTTCATTGCAAGGGGACTTCTGCTATAGTCTAAAGTCATGGGGCAAAAGAGATTTTTTAGTATATAGCCTGCTTCCCAGAAGCTGTATACCAACCAAAGGTTCGCCACAAACTGCACAACATTGTATATTTGTATGAATGTCTTCAATGAGTATGGTAGCCTGTTCTTCATGAATCGAGGTCCACACACGAGTACGAAATACATGTACGCGAATATTATCAATGGCATCTTATATATGGACTCAACTAGTGGGTAATCGGCTAATCGTGGATCTGAAAAGATATATTGGCATAATTTTACAAATACCACGTTCTCGAAAATCGCAGATATTTATTAGTCATACTTCAAATTAATATACACTGCAATTGCTACACTAATCTTGTGAGGTTTCACTACGCAATAATATAAACAACACTCACCAACAAGCAGCAAATTGCTAGAATTCAGGAAGGAATCCATGGTAAACAACTATGTCGTCGATGATCTTATGTCGTCGATAATTGTTTTTGCTACAACTAGTCAACTGTGGATCTAATTAACAACGTTCTATAAGCGAAATGATTATACCGACATGTCAGAATGGCAATAGAAGAATTCTACACAATTATTCGTTTTTATATAGCGTGAACTGCTATCTATTCGTTATGCAAAAATATGATGACTATGCAGTTATAACAATGACGATAACATGACACGACACGATACGCTTTACCATGAGAACAGGAAGTATATGTTGAATAAAATTAGTTTCAGTGTAACGCATCTCACTTGATTAATATAACAGTGACGTAAAAATAAAACGACATAAATAAATGTGACGTTTGACGAGATAATTCTATCTGAAAATTGTTATTTCAATCACTTTTTATGTGCGAATCTAATATAATGAAATCTATTGTACACACTCGTACAATGTTCCGGACAGTATTCTTTTACCAAAATAACCTTTACAACACTGCAAAATATATGTGTGGAAATCGACTTATTTTAAACGAAGATCAGCTGTGAGACTCGGTGCGGACTATATTAGAATAAGTACTATTATACTTAAAAATTACAAAAAGCACAATATCCGAATAATTTTCATACTTCCGTAATTGTGTTATGTGTGATATGTAAGCACTACAGTCAGTAAAAACGCCGTGATTCGGACAACAAAATTTAGGTGGCTATTTACACACATACGCATATATGCACACACATATATATATATATACACAATTCACTTTACTATACGGTAACTTCGATGAACGAAGTTCTTATTCCTACCACTGATGACTGTATCGCTACCACCGACGCATTTCTCGGCTGACTAGCCAGGAACCTTAATATAAGCTTTTTTCCATTTTTGTCCTTTTTCGCGTTTTTTTCTATATCAATCCTTGCGATTCTGATTTATTTTTCTTACGAAACGAATGACGAAAGGAGTGCTGATTGTGTTCTTCGTCTGTGGACTCGTGATCCAACTATCTCGAATTTCTTTTGACTTCGAGCATCATGGAAAGTTGAGTTAATAAGTTGAAATTTTCTCGTGAGACGTCGGTATACATACACTGTTATGTGAAGTGATGTGACGCGCGCGCGCGTGTATGTGTGAATCTAAAATACCTCTTTTCCGACTTCTCTCGACGCTCTGTCGAGTTTGACCTTACGTGTTAATCATGTATAACCGACGTACATCACACCTGTTAAAGAAGAATGCGCTGATCTAGTATAATCCTAAGGGAGATTGAATCTCAGAGAATAATTAAAATTTTAATTTATTTTCTCTCGTTTTTTTTCTTAACACATACAATCGGTATACTTTCATGAAATCGAATAGACAATTTTACTTTTAAACTAATTATTGAATTCTATAAAATAAAAAATGATATTTTTATTATATAAAACTTAAAAAACTTAAAAAAATCTATAAAAACTAAAATCTATAAAAACTTATTTTATAGAATAACAAATAAAAAAAACAAAAATTTTCGGATATTGAGTATTTACATTTTTTAAATATTTACTCTTGTAAAATCTCAAAAAAGTATTTCATGTGTTTTCATTAATTTTCATTAATTTTACAGTAAGATAATAATAATGGAAGAACAGGGAATGAGAATATACCAAACTATGGCATGCAGACAGAATTCATATTGTGTATACCTTTAAATTTAAAATAAGATTGAAACTAGAAAAAAAATCTTTGAGAATATTTAGATTTCTTATTTAAAATAGTATGTTTAAAATATTACATTTCTAATTATTCTTCTAATACTACTACATGGATTTTCGAATCAAAGTACATAATTTTTTTTCGGAAGATCGAACTGAATCCCAATTAGATATCATGCAATTTTCTACGTGCATATTCTTATTTATAAATATATATTTTATATGTGTACGTAAAAACACACGCTAGTTCTTTATTGATATAACATACATGTATATTACAATTTTATTAACATACATGTATATGACAATTTTATTATCATTCATGTATATGACAATTTTATCCTCCCACAATCATATTAATATTAAAAAGTAATATTAGTATTTAATAGCACCAAGACATCCGTGCTTGCTCCTTATGTGCCGTTTCAAATCTCAATGTTAGTTAATCTATTCGAGAAGCTTTCTATTATTTCGGTTTATATTAATACAATATATGGCTCTTCACAATCTATTGCATTTTCTGGGGTTTTACATATGTTTTTTGATAAAAGTTATAGAATAGATACAAATTTAACAGTAAGTTTTGTAAGAAGAGTATGATACTCCAGTGTGAAACGACTTTGCAATATGTGATAAAATTCTGCGACAAGTACAACATTAGGAACAAAAATTGCACCTGCAACGTAAGACGAAAAACAATTTATAATGTATCATTGGCTAAATTTCCGGATATCGACTGGTGATACGCGCTTAAACCGCGAAAGAAATGTTATCAAGTTTTACGCAATGTAAGTGGGTATAAAGAAAGCGTGAGGAAAAAGAAAAACTTACCATTTGCACTATAGTTATACATCGTTTTAAAGGTGTAATATTTTTTTGAATATCCGGTCCACACGCTGCTAGAAAATAATAGAGGTACATTATCACGTGTACGGCACTGTTAATTATGCATATGAACACCGTGGGACCAACGCAGTAATATCTTAGGCTGCACCATGCAATTAACGAGGTGCTCACGTGATGATATACATGCAAACCGGACACTTGATTATTCTTTTTCCTTAACACGAATATGACCGTTTCGACGTAATCCAGCAATTTCAACCAAAAGAAGCCCATTGCGATATTAATACCCTGCAGTCAAATTATTTAGACGTTATTTTGTGACATATTGTTGGTATTTTTTTCTTCGTAAAACAAATACGTTTGCTTTCAGCATGTCATAAGAACTGCGTGATCGCTACGTTAGAGCTTATTATGCGTGTTCGGTCATCGATAAGTGAGAACGTTCCAATCTGTCCAGTTTCAACAGTTCCGTTTCATTCATTTATGCAGCATATACTGCTATCTATCTTTATTCCACTTTTTTTCTTTATGCAAAATTATGATGACTTTGCAATTATAACAATAACAATAACATGACACGACACGATACGCTTTGCCATGAGAATATATGTCCGGCTAATGAAATATATGTTTTTCTCGCGTGATTTGTGGTTCACTGTATCGATAAATTTGTGAAACGTTTTATTTTGTAATTGTTGTTTTGGTGAAAGTACGATATATCCAAGTTCAGAAGTATTTGTTTAGAAAAAAACCAGCGTATCGCGTCTCGTTTAGAACCGCTAGAATCTACGAGCAGCTGATGACACACATTTTTCCGTATAGCGTTTTAAAGCTTGAATAGTTACCTTCATTGCAAGGGGACTTCTGCTATAGTCTAAAGTTATGGGGCAAAAGAGATTTTTTAGTATATAGCCTGCTTCCCAGAAGCTGTATACCAACCAAAGGTTCGCCACAAACTGCACAACATTGTATATTTGTATGAATGTCTTCAATGAGTATGGTAGCCTGTTCTTCATGAATCGAGGTCCACACACAAGTACGAAATACATGTACGCGAATATTATCAATGGCATCTTATATATGGACTCAACTAGTGGGTAATCGGCTAATCGTGGATCTGAAAAGATATATTGGCATAATTTTACAAATACCACGTTCTCGAAAATCGCAGATATTTATTAGTCGTACTTCAAATTAATATACACTGCAATTGCTACACTAATCTTGTGAGGTTTCACTACGCAATAATATAAACAACACTCACCAACAAGCAGCAAATTGCTAGAATTCAGGAAGGAATCCATGGTAAACAACTATGTCGTCGATGATCTTATGTCGTCGATAATTGTTTTTGCTACAACTAGTCAACTGTGGATCTAATTAACAACGTTCTATAAGCGAAATGATTATACCGACATGTCAGAATGGCAATAGAAGAATTCTACACAATTATTCGTTTTTATATAGCGTGAACTGCTATCTATTCGTTATGCAAAAATATGATGACTATGCAGTTATAACAATGACGATAACATGACACGACACGATACGCTTTACCATGAGAACAGGAAGTATATGTTGAATAAAATTAGTTTCAGTGTAACGCATCTCACTTGATTAATATAACAGAGACGTAAAAATAAAACGACATAAATAAATGTGACGTTTGACGAGATAATTCTATCTGAAAATTGTTATTTCAATCACTTTTTATGTGCAAATCTAATATAATGAAATCTATTGTACACACTTGTACAATGCTCCGGACAGTATTCTTTTACCAAAATAACCTTTACAACACTGCAAAATATATATGTGGAAATCGACTTATTTTAAACGAAGATCAGCTGTGAGACTCGGTGCGGACTATATTAGAATAAGTACTATTATACTTAAAAATTACAAAAAGCACAATATCCGAATAATTTTCATACTTCCGTAATTGTGTTATGTGTGATATGTAAGCACTACAGTCAGTAAAAACGCCGTGATTCGGACAACAAAATTTAGGTGGCTATTTACACACATACGCATATATGCACACACATATATATATATATACACAATTCACTTTACTATACGGTAACTTCGATGAACGAAGTTCTTATTCCTACCACTGATGACTGTATCGCTACCACCGACGCATTTCTCGGCTGACTAGCCAGGAACCTTAATATAAGCTTTTTTCCATTTTTGTCCTTTTTCGCGTTTTTTTCTATATCAATCCTTGCGATTCTGATTTATTTTTCTTACGAAACGAATGACGAAAGGAGTGCTGATTGTGTTCTTCGTCTGTGGACTCGTGATCCAACTATCTCGAATTTCTTTTGACTTCGAGCATCATGGAAAGTTGAGTTAATAAGTTGAAATTTTCTCGTGAGACGTCGGTATACATACACTGTTATGTGAAGTGATGTGACGCGCGCGCGCGTGTATGTGTGAATCTAAAATACCTCTTTTCCGACTTCTCTCGACGCTCTGTCGAGTTTGACCTTACGTGTTAATCATGTATAACCGACGTACATCACACCTGGTAAAGAAGAATGCGCTGATCTAGTATAATCCTAAGGGAGATTGAATCTCAGAGAATAATTAAAATTTTAATTTATTTTCTCTCGTTTTTTTTCTTAACACATACAATCGGTATACTTTCATGAAATCGAATAGACAATTTTACTTTTAAACTAATTATTGAATTCTATAAAATAAAAAATGATATTTTTATTATATAAAACTTAAAAAACTTAAAAAAATCTATAAAAACTAAAATCTATAAAAACTTATTTTATAGAATAACAAATAAAAAAAACAAAAATTTTCGGATATTGAGTATTTACATTTTTTAAATATTTACTCTTGTAAAATCTCAAAAAAGTATTTCATGTGTTTTCATTAATTTTCATTAATTTTACAGTAAGATAATAATAATGGAAGAACAGGGAATGAGAATATACCAAACTATGGCATGCAGACAGAATTCATATTGTGTATACCTTTAAATTTAAAATAAGATTGAAACTAGAAAAAAAATCTTTGAGAATATTTAGATTTCTTATTTAAAATAGTATGTTTAAAATATTACATTTCTAATTATTCTTCTAATACTACTACATGGATTTTCGAATCAAAGTACATAATTTTTTTTCGGAAGATCGAACTGAATCCCAATTAGATATCATGCAATTTTCTACGTGCATATTCTTATTTATAAATATATATTTTATATGTGTACGTAAAAACACACGCTAGTTCTTTATTGATATAACATACATGTATATTACAATTTTATTAACATACATGTATATGACAATTTTATTATCATTCATGTATATGACAATTTTATCCTCCCACAATCATATTAATATTAAAAAGTAATATTAGTATTTAATAGCACCAAGACATCCGTGCTTGCTCCTTATGTGCCGTTTCAAATCTCAATGTTAGTTAATCTATTCGAGAAGCTTTCTATTATTTCGGTTTATATTAATACAATATATGGCTCTTCACAATCTATTGCATTTTCTGGGGTTTTACATATGTTTTTTGATAAAAGTTATAGAATAGATACAAATTTAACAGTAAGTTTTGTAAGAAGAGTATGATACTCCAGTGTGAAACGACTTTGCAATATGTGATAAAATTCTGCGACAAGTACAACATTAGGAACAAAAATTGCACCTGCAACGTAAGACGAAAAACAATTTATAATGTATCATTGGCTAAATTTCCGGATATCGACTGGTGATACGCGCTTAAACCGCGAAAGAAATGTTATCAAGTTTTACGCAATGTAAGTGGGTATAAAGAAAGCGTGAGGAAAAAGAAAAACTTACCATTTGCACTATAGTTATACATCGTTTTAAAGGTGTAATATTTTTTTGAATATCCGGTCCACACGCTGCTAGAAAATAATAGAGGTACATTATCACGTGTACGGCACTGTTAATTATGCATATGAACACCGTGGGACCAACGCAGTAATATCTTAGGCTGCACCATGCAATTAACGAGGTGCTCACGTGATGATATACATGCAAACCGGACACTTGATTATTCTTTTTCCTTAACACGAATATGACCGTTTCGACGTAATCCAGCAATTTCAACCAAAAGAAGCCCATTGCGATATTAATACCCTGCAGTCAAATTATTTAGACGTTATTTTGTGACATATTGTTGGTATTTTTTTCTTCGTAAAACAAATACGTTTGCTTTCAGCATGTCATAAGAACTGCGTGATCGCTACGTTAGAGCTTATTATGCGTGTTCGGTCATCGATAAGTGAGAACGTTCCAATCTGTCCAGTTTCAACAGTTCCGTTTCATTCATTTATGCAGCATATACTGCTATCTATCTTTATTCCACTTTTTTTCTTTATGCAAAATTATGATGACTTTGCAATTATAACAATAACAATAACATGACACGACACGATACGCTTTGCCATGAGAATATATGTCCGGCTAATGAAATATATGTTTTTCTCGCGTGATTTGTGGTTCACTGTATCGATAAATTTGTGAAACGTTTTATTTTGTAATTGTTGTTTTGGTGAAAGTACGATATATCCAAGTTCAGAAGTATTTGTTTAGAAAAAAACCAGCGTATCGCGTCTCGTTTAGAACCGCTAGAATCTACGAGCAGCTGATGACACACATTTTTCCGTATAGCGTTTTAAAGCTTGAATAGTTACCTTCATTGCAAGGGGACTTCTGCTATAGTCTAAAGTTATGGGGCAAAAGAGATTTTTTAGTATATAGCCTGCTTCCCAGAAGCTGTATACCAACCAAAGGTTCGCCACAAACTGCACAACATTGTATATTTGTATGAATGTCTTCAATGAGTATGGTAGCCTGTTCTTCATGAATCGAGGTCCACACACAAGTACGAAATACATGTACGCGAATATTATCAATGGCATCTTATATATGGACTCAACTAGTGGGTAATCGGCTAATCGTGGATCTGAAAAGATATATTGGCATAATTTTACAAATACCACGTTCTCGAAAATCGCAGATATTTATTAGTCGTACTTCAAATTAATATACACTGCAATTGCTACACTAATCTTGTGAGGTTTCACTACGCAATAATATAAACAACACTCACCAACAAGCAGCAAATTGCTAGAATTCAGGAAGGAATCCATGGTAAACAACTATGTCGTCGATGATCTTATGTCGTCGATAATTGTTTTTGCTACAACTAGTCAACTGTGGATCTAATTAACAACGTTCTATAAGCGAAATGATTATACCGACATGTCAGAATGGCAATAGAAGAATTCTACACAATTATTCGTTTTTATATAGCGTAAACTCCTACTTCGACCTTTATTCTTTATGCAAAATTATGATAACTCTGCAATTATAATAATGACAATAACATGACATGACACGATACGCTTTACCATGAGAAGGGGTAGTATAGGTTGAATAAAATTAGTTTCATTCTAACGCATCTCACTTGATTAATATAACAGTTTATAAATGTGACGTTTGACAAGATAATTCTATCTGAAAATTGTTATTTCAATCACTTTTTATTTGCAATTACGATATTTACGAATTTAATATAATGAAATTCGTAAAATAATGAAGTTTCCATCACTTTCAGTAATATGTAAAATGCATTAAATATAGATACACGTAAGTGTATTGATTATTTCAATCTTGTTGGATTATATCTGCCTTATTTAGAGAAAGAGAAAGAGAGAGAAGAAGAGAGCGAGTTCAAAAGTTTATTTTATATTAGTATTGTTTAATTTACTTTTTTCTAAGTATAACAACATATTTAAAAATTTTTTGAAAAAGGAGAATCAAAAGAGTTAAAAAAAATATTTCTATAAAAAATGAAAACATGATATGCATTTCGAGTATACCATATCTTTTGTTAATACAACCTCTTAATTATTTTAGCAATTATAACAATAAGCATCGTATATTTTACAAGTGCAATATTTTAGAAGTGATGAATTTGTTTGCATAATGACTACCGCATTTGGTTTGTTTGTATTTGTTCAATTTTGAGGTATAATTTATGACATTCATAAATAAATCATCTATAATGCACATTATAGATTGTTATGTATATTTACATTGAATTGTTCTCGTACAGAAATCAGCGATTGTTCTAGAGAGTCAGGTGTAACAAGCGTTCACAGACGTCGTGCATCGCAACCGACATATGTTAGATTTTCATCAAGGGAAAATTTGTCGACATTAAACATAACTATTACTTGTGGAATAGCTATTATTTATCGTTACGATAGTCACGTATCGCGAGTAACATTGACGTAAACTTGCTTACGATCTTCTTCGAAACTACAACTACATCGTATGCAACGATACCTTCACACAACAAAATCTGCTATTACACTTTAATAACAAAAAAGAGGAAAAGAATCGTCCTATTAGCAAAATTGACGTTACCGTTTACGGTATTTAGTTGGATAAACACACGATTGCCGATTGCGTGAACCAACTTCGTAATACGAAATATCGAAACTATGCTCGACAGCTAATTTCACACTCAAATAATGAAAGTCTCTTGGCAGATTTTTCTCTTTTCGCGGTAATCTTAAATAATTCATATATAATCAAATTAAAATATATATCTCAGATCCTTGTATGAGTATGTTATGTGTGTCTGGTCGTGTCTATACGTCCGTGCATAAAATCATATATTTTATTTCAATAATATATTTTATTTCAAGAATAGGGTTGAAACGTAACCTATATTCACTTTTGAATAATGACGTCAGCTTATGGTCAGCTAGTTACCTTTTCAAATGGCTGGTCTTCCCACGCTAATATCTTTTGATAGGCGAAACGCCAGGAGTAATAATAATAATGTACCCACTAATTATTGGGAGTATTTACAGTGATAGCACTGCAATCTTCTACTATTGCTATTACTCGCGTTTCGTCCGTCTACCGGCGTATATCTGAATAAGAAAACCAGTTGTCAGCCTGATAACAAGCCTGCTTATAATATGAAAGCATCTTACTTATATAGACGATGACTTTCGTCCAAATCACAATATATATTATAGTTTCGTTCATATGATACTCATAAATCCGTAACACGCAAATCATTTCAGCTCTTGTGTTCTTCGAAGTATTGTGCAAATTAAATTACTCTGATGGAAAACGATCGATAATACGGACGAGCACATATGCATCGCCTATAATGTGAAATTAAGCGCGCGAGTAACGACTATTTTATATAATAAGTTATACAATTTTTATAATACGTCATATGATACATGCGCTGCATATTCGATTACAGGACAAGCGCACGCATTATGATGCACACAAAGAAAATATTGCAGCAAAAAATATGTTAAAATTGGATTATACTGAAATTATAATATAAATTACTATAGAAATAGTAAATTTTACGATTTACCTAATATATGTTACAAAAAACATTCAAGTAATTACAATAATTTTATAGTAAAATGTCAAACGTGCATATTTTTAAACAAGTAGTAACTTGTACTAATAACTTTAATCATAATTCTTTTTCTTTCTCTATCTGGTCCGAGATTACAAAAATTTTTACTACAATATTTTATCTATGCACATATTATGACACAAGTATCGAGCCGTTAGAATTACGCGTCTTGGCGCTATTACATGTTCTTAGATGTGCCTCTGTAGAATTCGCGAAACAGCAACAGATTTGTTATCGAATTTCCGATCCGAATACGAATCCGCAAGCACGCGGTGTGGGGCAACTTGGGAATAACGTCTGAGATATGCAAATTATTACGGCGCGGCAGGAGCAGTTAGAGTAATGAAATCAGGAAGTTTGTCAAGTCAATCATAATCGCGTATGTAAATAAAAATGCCATTGAGCTAGAATATCTCATCGTTATAAAATAACGCGCATACGAACGCGTTGAAATGTCGCTAATTTTAATTCCCTGTCTTTAAGTGTTACGACTCTCAAAATTGTCGCGATCGATCCCTTCGATATGCCCAGTAGGAATCCAGTAATAACGGTGTCTCTCCGTAATAATGGACGTGTATATATTCAGAGTAACTCAAGAATTAATAAAAAATTATCAGTTTTACTGATATTATTGTGACGCAAGATTATAGCGAAGAATTTCATAAGTATCACGACAGAAATGTGAACACACAATCGTTTCGCGCAAACATACCGACGGTAGATCCGGCAGACATTTCGTACGTATAACTTACTATTTGCAAGAATTATTTGCAAGATCGTTTATAAACGGCTTAATCAGGTTAATGACTTTCTGTACGGATAGTCTGAATATGGTAAGTAGTAAGTACACGTTATGACATGTACAAAATAATTGAGTGAAATGATAAACGTCAACATTCTGCCCCCAAACGACGTAGGTAAACGTTCCAATAATTAAACTTGATAAAAAAGCACGATCAGTTTTGTATTTTATTAATAAGTAATTAATGAAATTACAAAGCAAACTAACGTTTATGTAGAACCTTGATTTATCAGCGATCGAGAAATAATACAAATAAATAATATATAATCAATAAATATCAATTATAATTTTAATGGGATATGTCAGAGTTGTGCCAGTAATTAAATTGAAAATTGAATCATGTCCTAATTACTGAACAATACAGCCTTAGTAATTGAATGATCATTAAATAATATTACAAATTGGGACGTAAAAAAATACCTTTTAACAAGATCTCAAAGATTTGTTAAGAAATATTAAATACAAATATATTTTTAATGTTTCGAGTACTGGAACAAGGTTTAATTATTGGGACATTTATCTTATTTCGAGTAAATTCAAACAAACATTCCGTCGGACACATGGTGGTGCAAACGCGAAAAAATAATCTAATTGTATTTCTTCCCGAACACTTGTACGATCGTCTCGACGAGATGAACTAGTTTTGAAAGTATTAGCTATTGCATGGTCGTACAATGTGAGCTAGAAGATGCGTGTTGGAGAACCCGTAGAAAAAAAACCATATACGCACATGATTTCTTTGCGGCATGCTGTGACGTGTAATTTTTTAAAATATTGTTTATTGACGTGTTTCTTTACCTTTTATATTTCATGAACTTACTTTATCATAAAAATGATATTCAAATAACATTATTCGTTATCGGGTATCTTGATCTTTCGATATACTTTTAATTAATATGCATCCTGTTACTATTTTTCTCCATGATATTGATACGCAGATGTCGATAAAGGGAATGATATTTAGACCTTAGTTATATATGTACTACTAAATCATTTCCGTCTAATATAATTAAAAAAAAAAATTTTCTAGATTATTCACTGTGATGCACGAATATATTATTACAGTATCATGGCATATTAAAGAAAGACTCTTAACAGTTGCTAGACTCACCTGATACACTTGGAATCCGTTGGATACTCGGCGACAAAAATAAACGCTTTCCTCCATATATTATATATGTATTATTGGGATCATCATTTCGCGCGTTATATTGAATATGTCGAGAACGAGATGTTCGCGTCGATGTTTATGCCTTCCTTCCACCCTGCTCCTGCCTCTAATGTAGCGTCATTTGGCAAAATATCGATTTATTAGTACCGGTAATTCTATTTCGTTCGCTACAATGAGACAATTGTTACTATCAAATGTTATTGGTGGTTTATCACGAAACGTGACAGTAGTGCGATCGGTATTATCGTAAGTCGTGCAAACGGTAAATACAAAACGATTAAAATTTGAAATCGATTTTGCGTTAATCGCTTCGTGGGAAATTGAAACTTCGTCCGCTGTTGAGCTCCGGAATTTACACGATACAGCGTTTTAATAGATTTTCAATTTCGTGTGAAAAATAATAAATCTATTTATAATCAAATTATTAAATTCTCCTGTGGCACAATGTAGGAGCGCTTGAAATTTCGAAAGAGCTTAAACATCGCATATGCTTATACAAATTTATCGTTACGGAAAAGCGCAAACCGATCGATATTGAATAATCAACCTCTTAACATTTAACCTTACGCAACCACGACGCTGTTCACCGCCACAAGTGCATGTAATTTCCTTGAAAATTGAAAACGCGTTACTAACTTTAACTCACAAAGATTATTTAAGTTGATACGAATTTATTGATAAATCTATGATGAAAAAGGAATCTTGACGGAAGTTGTGAGACGAAACGATGGTAAGATTTACGTCGCGTATATCATAAATCTTAAAAACAACAAAAACGAAACAGAAACGTTTAATTAATTAAATTGATCGAGTTTTGAAGAACGAAATATCTCCTTTCTTTAAAATGTACTGAGAAAAAAATCTTGGCAATTTATTTGT